TTTCAACGTAAAAATTCGAAAAAAACTAAAGTACTCGGATAGGATAGAGATACATATCAATCGATTCGTTGTTTGGTCCTGATTCCAAATATGATATTTTTATCCCATAGAAGTTGAGTTCTGTTGGAGAAAATTGAGAAATACGAGGAGAATTTCGAGTTTTTCGCCTCTGATTTAGAAAATAGGAAGTTTCTCAGCGAGTGGCCTACGCGAGAATTTGGCTTTTGAATTTAAGGACTTGCGAACATCATTTCTAGTACCAGTTTTTCATAAGGAATCTAAAAATATTAGCTCCAGAGTTACACGACTAAAGCGAAAAACATTATGGTGTTTTTTCCGAAAACAAAAACTTTTTGGGTTTTTGCGACCTTCTCCGTAATCGGAGTTTTTCTAAAAAAGTAAAAAGGAAGAAATAAAAGAATTTTTACATATTTTTCTAGTTTTCTGTTTTTCCTCTCAGCTATTCTTCGTGAGCAGAACAAGTTATAACTATCTGACAAGGAAATTATGAAATATTCTCACATATTCAAGATGTTGTATGGCGTTAGGCAAAACATTAAAATAGTAGAAAATTTTATGTTGAAATAATTTTTTGTCGTCTTCTTTCTCTATCTCTACAATCGAGGAATATTTTCTATTCATGTATATGTCTATCAACAATCTCTCCCTTTGGAACAAAAATTCAATTATAGTTTCACGCTAAAGTTCAGCTTCATCGTTCATCTATTTTCAAAAATAGTGGGTAAAAGTCAAGCCTGTCGCATTCTCGAGAGAATATATACACTTGGAGATTTCGGTATGGACTAAATTCACAACTATGACTATTGTAACTATAACTATGACTAAGGATGTTTAGTGCACATAGATATACGTGTGTCAACGACTCCTACCTGAGTGAATTGCGCTGCCATTGTAAGATCGTTATCCGATACGTGAAAGTCTTATAACTTTTTTAACGTGGAAGGAATCTGATTGAAACTTTTAGACGGTACTCAGCTCGACTATGCTCAGTATCACTAAAAAAACACTAGTCATTGCTGAGATATAAGCACTGTACTAGGTGAAATCGTGACTTTGACGACACCTAGCGACAATAAAATCACTTTTCTAATTGAAAGAAAGATTGTTTAAACTTGGTTCTTGCAAGAAAACTGTAGAAAACAGTTTATTCTTTCAGAATATAACCATGAATTTATTATGCATTTGCAGTTAGGGAGCGATTATACATCAACAATGGTTTTACATATAGAATGACGTTTTCTTGTAACGCGAGATTGAACTCAGCCAAATCTAGACTAAAGCTTTATCGAAAATGCTCGAAACCCCCAAAAGATAATGCTATGATTTTATTAAAAAGAAGATTTATTTACTTTCATTTAAAAGATTAAAATGCTCTAGGGAACTGCGCTTTTTCTGCTAAAAAAGCAGCGCGAGATTTTCAAGTGTTTTTGTTATATCTTTCAGACTACTCAACCCTTATCCTTCATATTTTTATCCTTTTTTTCGTCTTGTTATATGTGATAAAAATTTTAGCTTCAAAAGTTCGGCCTTTCGAGAGAAAATTTTACTGGCAAAAGGAGCTCGAGATTTTTTTACCCAAAAAATAACGCGAGATTAAAATATGTGAATCTCTGGAAAAGGTAGACCTAAACATAACTTATTATCCATCATTCGATTCATCGTCAAGAGACCTATTTACTGGTGTATATTACAAGTCCGTGAAGCGGTTTTTGACTCCTTATCCGCTGAAAAAGGCAAAAAGATTAAGACTCTTCCCTTCGTTTACTCTTATTTTCGTATTAGGCAGGGGGATTTCTCGTATTTTGAAAAATTTTAATATATACAGAAAAAAAATAGCGACAGTCGGGGAAATAGCGTATTAATAGGTATTGGATAACACTCTATCAAATGTACGACTCGGATTTTCTTTGTTTAAAACTACTTTTCTCGAAAATTTCTTTTCTCAATCGTGCAATGGCACCGCAATTCGCTCATCTGTTTGATAGAAGATACTAATCCCATTTAAGAGGAGAAGAAGCTGTGTCAATTTAAGAGACGATTCGTGTGGCCATTAAAATACATCGTAACATGAAAAAAATTAACATATACTTTTTATGTTCTCATTCGATTCTATGCTGAAAACTGGGGTTATGACGAAATTTTTTAAGTTCCAGAACCATTTGCCGCTGAGTTATAGAATTTTGAAAAGGGTACATTTCGAAAAACTGTCAGAAAGCCACATTTCCAGTATTTTTGATTTTTCTTGCTCATTTTTTGTCCTAAAATTTCATGCTACGTCTCATTTGAAAGAGGAGATGAAACTGCATCGAATAAGGTAGCATTCGGCCTTTTAGACTTGAAACTAAATTTTTAAAATACGAATGACTCGAAAACTTCGTGTTTTCAAAAGAGAATTTTTTTAGTAAAATCAAATTTTCTCAGCCTCGTTGAAAGTGCCAAAATAGTTATTCACATCACCTTGTAGAGCAGACAATTCTCTACAAACTTGGCAAAGAAGTCCTGTTTCAAAACCCCTGCAACAGGGTGAAAAATGCACTATAAGCATTTTTTTTATAGGCGTACGATAAGAACAATTATACCATCATTCACCACGAACTTTACTTTAAAAGGAAAAAAACATTATTTTTCTAGCAAATCGAGGTCGCTGATCACGATACAAGTGTTTTAGACACGTTTACGTCCAGCTTTTTTTTACTTTCTCTCTCTCTCTCTTCCATAAAGACGGAGACAACAACACAGTGATTTTTGTAAAATAAAAGTGATAAGTTTGTCCATATTGTTTGTGATGAGAGCACGGTATATTCTTGTATTGTAAAAAGTAAGTCATCGTCTTCGTATAATATGGCAACGGTGGCATTACATCGTATGTGTGTCGCTGACGATCATGAAAATATTACCACTCTTGGTGGAAAAGCAGCAGCTTTATCAGATTTAATTAATAAAAAAGTAAACAGAATTCTTTTTCCTGGCAGCGAATCAGAAGCCGAGGCTGTGCTTCATCGAAGCGACATTATTATCAGTTCTTAAATAAATTATCAAGATTTGTTCGTATGGCAGTCGCACTACCATCGTCTTATTAAATGATGATGAACAGGTGTTCGTTGAGGTGGGACAAAGAGCTGACTTACGCGATGCTGTGGGATTGCCTTCGTCTCGTGCATCCCGTCAGCCTCCAGCACGAAAGCATACAATTCCACCAGACAAACGATTGGCTGAATCAACCCCTGACGTTAGTGCAAAACAACATTCTTCGAAGAAAACAAAGCAGTAATTTTAAAAGCTGAGTGATTCACCTGAACGTAAATGTGTCTAAAACACTTGTATCGTGATCAGCGACCTCGATTTGCTAGAAAAATAATGTTTTTTTCCTTTTAAAGTAAAGTTCGTGGTGAATGATGGTATACTGTGTCTGACACATTTACGTTCAGGTGAACCACTCAGCTTTTAAAATTACTGCTTTGTTTTCTTCGAAGAATGTTGTTTTGCACTAACGTCAGGGGTTGATTCAGCCAATCGTTTGTCTGGTGGAATTGTATGCTCTCGTGCTGGAGGCTGACGGGATGCACGAGACGAAGGCAATCCCATAGCCTCGCGTAAGTCAGCTCTTTGTCCCACCTCAACGAACACCNGGGGGTGTGGGGGGGGGGGGGGGGGGGGTCGGGGGCCCCACGAGACGAAGGCGCCAAACTCATGGTTTTAATTCGCGCTCAAGTCTATTTCTGTGCACATTTGGTGGGAGAATTATAATTAGGGCTTCTTTTCAATAATTACGCTAGAATTTCCACCTTTCGCATTACTTTAGAGAAAAAGAAGCGCTCTACGTAGAATTGTAGGCATGTCAACCATTTCGAATTTCTACTGGTTAGCATACAAAACGAATAAAACAGTTGTACGTGGAAACGAGCACTTTTATAGTAGGTACGTGATGATCGAAAAAGCATTGTAAAAGTCGAGAAAATCCTTCAATGTCCTCAGGTTTGAAGCAATTCTAAGCATAATGATAACGGTCGCTTTCAATATCTCTTAGCGGGTTAAAGGGTACCCCGTCCTTATATGCTGCTGTATGAAATACTCAATTTTAGAACTTCTAGGAAAATGCCTGTAACTCTTTGATGCAAGGTCATACAGAGTTGTGCACGGTCTTATTTTGATCAGAAAAGTTTGCTCTAAAAATCTGTATATGTAGAAAAATTTAATTGTATAAGTAACCAGGAAAAAGCTATTATTTGAAGATCCAGTTTTTCTAGGGTCCTGGAAAACTTGCTCAAAGAAGTCATTTCTACGCTTAAGTCAGACTTAAGTATTTTTATAAAAGTGGCTCAAGTTTCACGTATGTCAGCGATCTTGAATTTCTATTGGCTGGCATACAAAATGAATAAAATAGTTGTACGCAGACACGAACGCGCTATAAATAAGTTAGCAAGAGCTGAAAACTCCAGTATTGGAAGAGAAAAATATTCTGAATCGATAGTTTGATTCAGATTTTCGAGATCTGCTCGCGGGCTGAGGCCCTGTATCCAATATGCTTTTGTTATTGAAGAAACCTATTGTTTTCTATTTGAACATTGTAAGAAAGATTTTGAACAGAGAACATGTAGATATTTAATTTGATCTCGATAAGTGAGATGATCGATACTTATTCTCGCTCAAAGATATTTGGAGTTTAGAAACTCACATATCACACATACCGTTACGCTCATAGACAGATCTGAAAAGAAACAATTTCGAGTTGCAAAATTTCGCAAATACAAGTATAAAGAGTAATTTTAAAAATTCGTAAACAACAGTCTCACATGAGAAAGTTTCTAAAAAGACCGTCACTGAGGACGTGAACGGCCTAAGGGTATCTTCACCTGACAAACTTGCTATTGATCTGTGCCAAAATAGCTTTTGTGGCGTTGGCTGCTAGTTTCATATCCAACATGCACTGCGCATGAGTGTGATCCGTTCGAGCAACAAAACCAGCGTTATCGGAACTTCGAACGAAAGGCTGTTGATTATCATTCCACCAGTGGCGCATTTCTTCTCTGGTGAGACTACCGTGTGGTCGTTTCTTGATCCAATTCTGTGCGCTTACGACTAACAAAGGTGTGCTTCTGCGGATGGTGACAGCATTTGAGGCACTACTAAGGTCAATCTCTAACTTTGATACACGATCCATGATGGTTCGCCAGTAGAGAAAATGATTCCCGGTCTTGCGTAGCATAGTCTGCGTCATGAAGAGAGCAACATGACCATGGGGCAGAAGACGAAAGATGTCACCGAATTCACCAGGTATACAATAACGGATCAGCGGTGCAAGTGGTCTCATCAGTCCCCACGAGGCTGCGCGAGCCATTTTTCTATATAGAGAAAATGCGCCATTGAAATCGACAGACATCGGGCTACCATCTTCGAACACGTTGGACGGTGTTGGATCAAACAGAATAATGCCTGCCACATCTTCCGGATATTGCAATCGATAGAGCTGCGCCAGTGAAGCCCCAGCCGATGCACCGAAAAGAACAAATGGTTTGCGAAGCACCAATTTTTCGCATACAACTCGTCGTAGCAACGAGATTTCAGTATCTGCACTTTCTGTGGTCCAATCAACAGGAGGCGCAGAAGCACCGTATCCTGGCGAGTCAAATGAAAAAATTTCAATAGGCTCGTCTATGTACTGGGCGAATTTGAGAAGCAGAGGTTTGACAACGTTCATACTGGCACCCAGACCACTGACGTAGATAATTGGTGGGAGCTTCGACTCCGGTGCACGGAGATGCACCACGTGTATGAGCTTATTCTCTGGACCCCACGGTTTCATTTCGTCTTCTGGTGGATAGTACTTCTTTCGATCCCGAGCTTCAGCATATCGCTCATAAGACGAACCAAATCCTGGAAGAATCCATAGAAGAAGAAACAAAATAAGCACTACCAAAGTAATAGGCAAAATCACAATGCCAACTAGTCCCATCCAAACAGCTGTGCATAATGAGGATTGTGTTGTTGCCGCTGCCCGCATAGGATCGGTGGCCTGCAGCAAAGGATCGTCATACCATTTAGATTTCTTGTCCATTTCCTTATGTTGTTCATGTTTGGGAGTTGAACTTCGTCCTTTTCGTTGACCGAAATTATTATTTTGTTCCGATGGTGATTTAACATTTTCGAGCGATGACATGATGTTATAAACACAAAAGTCGGTTATTTTTTACCTTTTTCCCTGTCGATAAGAGTTTGTCACTATGAAAAAAAGAAAAGAAAAGCGAAAAAGGAAAGTTGGTTTATTGGTCGTCCAAGATATACTAAAGAACATCTACATTGCAGACAGGAGAAGAAGAAGAAAAAACTAAGAGAAGGGACAAGTAGTAACATCTGAGCAACTTCTGATGTCTCTCTTCTCATGTGGTGGATTTTGAAAATAATGGACGTCATAGTACACTTATAATGGTAGCCGAGCATTATCTATGCTAAAAATATGGGAGAAAGAATATATTCAGTCGAACTGAATTGAATCGGATCGACCTGAACCAAGTCTAGGGTCAGCCGAATCGAGTTTAATTGATTTTTTTTCCATCCGTTTCTGTCTGTAATAGGAAAACCTGCGCTCTTTGAAGAAACAGTCTATAAAGTAATACTTCTGGTACATTAACCGAAACTGAAACTATATCGAGATTTATAGTAGTGTTCAATGTTTCATCTGCGTCTTCTTCTCTGAATCCTTCTGAATCTCGTCAACAGCTTTATTCAAACGAACAGCCAGATGTGGATATCCCGATTATTGTTCGCATACACAAAAGTATACCCACATGGTTGGCACTATTGTTGGTTACAAAAATCGGGTTGGTGTCAACGTTTCTCAAAGACAAGAACAACAGGTTTTATTTTGCATGCGTAGGCAACGACTTTTGATTCAAAAATAAAATAATGGATGCAGCTGTTTTAAATTTCATAAATTACTGTATTAAACTGATATTTCTACGTTGATCGATCATTTTCAACAATAATAAAACACTAACTGTACAAGATGAAGACCGCTTCTTACTTTCTATTTCGTTCTACAAAGTAACTACAGGTGTAAAAGGAAAAAGAACGAGAAATTTGACATTCAAAAAGATAGAATAGTACTTCTTTTACACTTATATATGCGCATATATATGAAAAAAAGCACTGTTATACCTCTTTTAATACCAAATTTCTTGTTCCTTTCCTTTTACACCTGTAGTTACTGTGTCGAACGAAATAGAAAGTAACTACAACATCTTGTACGTGCATCTTTACTCAAAAGCAAATATTAAGTTTTATGAGATATCTCATTTTTCATTAGAAAATAGATTTTAAGGTATAAGAATGGCCTTTTGCACCGAGAATCGAATAATCACATGTTTAAAAGGAGCTTTCTAACCAGATGACGGTTTATGCTTAATGGATTCATGGTAGTCTCAAATTCTTCGTTTGTGTTTCCCTTCATCATATGACTAACGGAAAGACTATTATTTTTAAATAAATAAGAATAAACATAGCTTCGAAGTGTTTACTGTGTTGCTCCAGAGTATTTCTTTTTGAATCTGAACAAACTGTTCTCATGGTATCTTCTCTATTTTATTCAATTACCAGTTGATACAGATAAAATATCACAATTTCTCCAGACAAAGCTGGATAATTTACCATTTGTCAATGATGATGCAAACTTAGATGTCTGCACATCGTACGATCCTACACTTGTTTTGAAATCCAATAAAGATCATGTTTTAATATACATTCAAATAAGGATTATTTCAAAACTTCTGGATTGCTGTCAAAAACTGCCAACAAAATGCAGAGCTATTTTCAGCGGCATACCGGCACTTGGGCGCCGACATTTGGGCGTGAGCGACAGTTGGGCGCACACGGCTTGTCCAGCTGACGGTATCCTTTTTTCGCTCTTTTGCAAAGAACTATGGCAATAAAGTTAGAAAATAATCTAAAATGAATCGCAAAATGAAGGAGTAGGGCTAGACTAACAAAACGTAGAAAAAAAATTAGTTTAGTTTAACATACAAGTTTGTTGACAGTTCTATAAATTAATCAGGGATGTATTATTTTTTCTCATTCAATGTGTATACATCACTATTTTTTTTATGAGGACTGTCGCTAAATTCTACACTTAACGCTAGACAACGGAGATTCTGCCTGTATGAGTGATTATTCAGAATTCGCTGGAAAGTTAGGAAGCGTTTCAAAATATATTACGATCGGTAATTTCTCTATTCCGCGAGTATTTCTGTATTCTTCTGTTACTCGAATTTCATTATAAAGAGAATTTTTATATAGATGTATACAGGAGCTTGTGTTTCTTTTCTAATTGATCTGATTACTCCTTCACAGACAATTAAGAGACAATTTGTCAGCCGGCTGACAAAAGCAGTCATGAGCAGAAAATTAACCTATGGCTTTTATTTTATATTCGGATTCTACAACCAAATCTGGGTTTTTGAAAACACTTTTAGCCTCTTCTGACTTTTTTTTTGACAGAGTCATAGAATTTACGAAATGAGGACCATCTGGAAAGTTCGAAAAAGTACTATCCTCAGTATTCTGTCTATAACTCTGTTAATTTTTGTCAGCTTTGTTCGAGCAATATTTCATTTGCAAGCCCATAAAAAATGAAACAAAAGTACATAGTTTTCGATCTTTTACCATTGACAAGGAATGGTTTGGAGAAGAAACCAGGGATAAAACATGGTTTCTAAAACTGAAATCTTTCGAATCGAATCAATTTTTCGGCACCAAGAAAATATTGCACAAAAAATGTGACCATGCTATCGGATAGAGGAGTCAATTCTCTACAAATTGAGCACAAAAGGCTTTTCTAGAATTGGTGCAGAAGGTCGAAAAATGTGCTACGCCAGGCACACCATAACAGTTACCTTAACATTTTTTTTTACAAAATTACATTTTTGATATAAAAAAGAACGTTAATATGGCAAATGAAGTATGATGATTACAGTGCAATTACTTTTATGTCACAGTTTGCAAGTTACGTGACATTCTAGAGAGGAATCGTGCATTCAGGATGGAGTTCCTTTGCTCCTTACTTCACATTCTGATTCTAAAGGAAATTGATTGTTTTGTTCTTTTTTATCCTTGCTTTTATGACAAAGAATAACCATCAAAATTTTGTTTCATGCGTCAGATATGTGTTTGCTGAAAGCGGTTAAAACCACTATGTTTCAGACGATTACTCTTTTATCAATCGGTCGAAAACACATAGAGTAGCCGGGGGGTGCTTATGATCACGATAAAAAGATTTCCAAGTATTCTTGAAGCTCTGCAGCTATTTTCTACCAAAAAAAGGGATATTGTACGGGAAGGTTGAGCTGAGTCTTACCTATCGGTCGGTGAAAAAATTATCGTAAAAGTTATTAGCTTTACGTAGTACTAACAATACTTTTTTCACTTGGATCTTTTTCTTCTGCTATTGTTTCCGTAAAAAAGGATTGTAAAAGTGAGAACTGAGCTTTTGAACGAACTCTTTCATTTAAGCTTTATTGATAGAAAAATAACTAATAAGACATGCACCCGGCTCTAAGGCCATTACAGCATGTTGTACAGGCGCATAAAAAACTTAACAGTATAAAAAACCAGTTTTCTAGGCCAAAAAACTTTTTTCCGAAAATTTATTTTTAATCTGTCCAGATTAAAGAGCATACCGCAAAACCTATAAAAACATGTTTCAACAGTTTTGCGAGGGTTTTGGAAAGATTTCTGGAGAGTAAAACTTTGCATAGGGCAAAATTACGTTCTTGGCCTTTTCATACTTTTCAATGAAAAATCAACGATAAATAGGTAATCGACGACGGAGATTCCGAATATAATCAGCAGGTGCCAGAAAGGAATAAGCAAAAGCTGGCAGTTTTGCTTTCGCGGAACGGTTCCCTTAAACTCTGAAGTAATCAGGTATTTAAAGGTGTTCCTGCTGTACATCCTTTACGCCTATTCGCTACAGCCATCATGAACGTTTCGAATATAGTAAATCGCTTGAGTGATTTAGTCCGTAAGAATTTGGGTTTGACTTCGTCATCTCCAACATCTCAAAAAGAGTGTGAATTCGCAGAAAACTTATATGAAACCATCAAATCGGTCAAAAGTGCTACAACATATCGTTATTCAGAAGAAACTACGCTGGACGTCGATAATGACCCTTTTGATTACTCTAGTAGCAGTGATGAAGAGGAAGGTCATCATGATAACAACTCTGAATCGGAGGAAGAGGTCGATGGGGAGGAAAGCAAAAGCGAGAAAGATAAACGTCACTTGGCTAACTATTCACTAGATTTTATGCAGGAGGTAGTCGACTACGCTGACGAAAAAGACAAAAATGGGAAACGACGTCGATCATGGAAGACTGTCCGTCACAGGTACAAATCAGTTCCAAATCAATCGTATGTAAGTCGATTTCGTACATATCTGCAACAACACGGAACGAAGAGACAAAAGACCAACGATATTGATGAAATTGTATTTAAAAAATTTTTGCAAGCTCTGGAACAAGCTTTGCTTCTGCATGACGTTGATCTACAGCGGTGGGTGCTAAAAGCAGTTAAAGAAGTGCATTTGGAAGCTTTTCATCCTTCGCACGGTTGGGTGAATAACTTCAAAGTCAGACATCACGTCGTATCACGCCGAATAACGAATGTTGTTACTTGTCACGAAATAGAAAATCCCGACGAAATCTTAAAAACAGAAAATGACTATCGTGAAAATTTCTTTAAATCATCATCACATTATCGTCCTTCACAAATCTTTAACACGGATCAAGTAGGTGTGGAAAGACAACTCTATTCAAACCGCACTTTGACAATGGAAGGTGGAAAAAAAGTGTTCGGTACTGTACGATCGAAAAATGCTATGACACACAGCTATACATTGCAACCAACAATTTCTCTTGAAGACAAGTTGTTTGGCCCGATGTATTTGTGTTTACAGGAACCGAAAGGTAGAATGGGTGAGTTGGTCAAAACAGGCCTTTTTGAACCACGAAATATGGTTATAACCTGCTCCAGCAGCGGCAAACTGGCGTCGTCTCTTGTACGCTACTGGCGTGATAATTGTTTACTGCCATTCGTTGGCAATAAATGTTTTCTGCTGTCGGACAGTTGGTCCAGTCAGGGCGACGAAGATTTGTATACGAAAGAAGGGTGTGGTGGTAAAAAAGTGCAGCGTCTCGAAATTTCGCCGAAAACCACGTCAGATTGGCAGCCATTGGACTGCTACACAAACCGATAACTCAAAAACTTCATCAAAAAATGTTATCAACGTGTAGCCTTGGATGAACTCGATGTTGATCTGTACCAAAGAAATAATATAATTAAGCTAACATCACTCGTACACAACCAGTTAAGTGCGCCAATTTTTAATCGTATGATACAGTATTCCTGATTCAAGGCAGGCCTTCTGAAAACTGACCCAGCACTATTTTCCAATCTACCGAAGTCTGTTTCCCATCCTTACAACGCACGAAGAATGTGAAGAAAAGGAGTGTGACGAAAGTGTTTTTATCAACTGTTCCATCTGTTCAAAAAAGCTTTGTTTCTCTCAGTTTTTCGTGTCATATCATTTTCATGATTCAGCAGTACAGGGTAGCGGCTAATAGCCCTTCATGGGCGGTTGTGTTTTTTCAACCAAGAAGAGAACGCACATTTTTTCGAAAAAACATAAAAAAAAATAAAAAAAAAAAATAAAACGAAAAAAGTTTTAAAATGAAAAAATGTGCTTCCTTCCCTTGTTCTGAACCGTATGTGTGACCATTTTTAATATGTATGGTTTCCGGTTTGTTTGCCTGAAAGGGCGTTTTCTTTTTCGTGTGAAGGTGTTTTATACTATGTAAACAGTTTGGAGAATAAAAGTGTTGCCCTATGCAAAGTTTTGCCCTCCAAAAATCTTTCCAAAACCCTCGGAAAACTGTTAAAACATGTTTTTTATAGGTTTTGCGGTATATTCTTTATCCCTTTTTTTGGTAGAAAATAGCTGCAGAGCTTCAAGAATACTTGGAAATCTTTTTATCGTGATCATAAGCACCCCCCGGCTACTCTATGTGTTTTCGACCGATTGATAAAAGAGTAATCGTCTGAAACATAGTGGTTTTAACCGCTTTCAGCAAACACATATCTGACGCATGAAACAAAATTTTACTGTTGATTGAAAGTAATGAATATAAGTGAATGTAGATTATTGCGTATAGCCAATATGACTATAAATATGACCTAATATGATTATAGGCTTTCGCGACAGTTAAATGTATCAGAATAAGATTGTAACTGATAGTTTGCTTCTTGGTAAGGATATAGTCAAGAATTAATTCTATGCATTCCTCAATCATCATTATTATATTCTTAACTGATCACATTTTACCCCTACTGTATATCGGTCTTTCAATCAGTTTCTCACCTTTGACAAAATCACGAGTAGAAAACTACGGCTTAGACAATAAACTTGTAAAAATCAGTAACAGATTTTATTAGGATTTTCTACTAAATAAACAAGTTGCTTGAAAGACATTTCTGTCCACCATATCACATATCTGCAATTAGTTTTATCTCTGCTATTCTCAATGCAATTTGTCTACTTTTCCAATTGCTTTTTTTTAATCTTAATCGAACTTTATTTAATGCCAACAGCAAAACCGCAAAGAAAAAAAAGAGCAGGCAAATTGATAATAAAATCACTGTATGCCTGGATCTATTCGCAAAAATGGAACATTAATAAAAAGGATAAGGAAGTGAAAATAAATGAGAGATAGTGAGGAGAGAGAGAACAAAAGGTTCTATGATATTTTTTATTCAATAGGTCAAAAGAAATAGAATGAGAACGAAAAGTCAGAACCTTTTGTTATAATCTTGATGTTTTGGGTGAAAAAAGTTGTATGAGCAATTGTCTTTGATAACGGAAAATATTAAAAATGGTATAGATGATAATTCCATGTAAAAACTGGAGTTTATCACTGTTTCTGCTTGATTTGAACTTTCAAGCGTTTATTTAAAAAAAACTAAACTTAGAATAAATTTTGTTCTATCTGTTATTCGATGGTCGAATGTATTGCCTATATAAAAAAAAACACAGATAAAATGTGCGCATGGAAATGAGAAAAGAGAGAAGAAAAAAAGTAACAGAACAGAAAAACAGCTTAAATTCACTATAAGAAATCGTAGAGACTGTGGTGACACATGAAAAACTCAAGATGTAATTATAAGAAGCCCGCTGTCAGACTCGCCTTGAAATTCTGCATATACCACCTTGGTTTCATAAAGTTTGGTCCGGCGCGGAGCTAGCACCTAATTTTCTAATGTGAGTAAACAAAGAGAACTTCATCCATGTAACAGTGTATAGGAACAGACATCAAGTCAATCAATGCGTTTGATTGAAGGAATATGTTAAAAAATAGAATTAAAAATTGATACCAGGTCATCTCTATTCAGTGCGCAAACAGAGTGATGATGGAATTTACTAAACTTGGCAATGTCTTTTCAAAATGTGAGTTCCACTCAGTCAGCTTCTAATAGTTGAGAAGCGCAGTTGGCCTCACATTATCGTTGCTATCTCCTAGATCATACGGGTTATTAGGACTCAAATTTCTGCATCTGTTAAAGGAGTATTAAATAAATAAGGTGGATAAACAACAAAATGGAAAGAATGAAATGAAAGTTAATAGTGAATATGATTTAATTGGTGTCAATACAAAAAAGGTACCAAATCAGATTGAACATCGAAATGAGATCATTGTACTTAAAGTAGGTTCATCATAATTCACTTTGAC